TTTTCTTTTTGTTCGGGACGAACAAAGGTTTAAGTGTGGGGGAGTTGTTTGTCCCATTTTTGTTGCATTTTTTGTGTTTATTTTATCTTTCTTTTCCCCCCCGTTTGAGGTCTTTTCTTTAGTTTTTAGTCTGTTTATTGGTTTATGATATGTTTTCCTACATTTTGAGTCTTCAGGTGTTTTTTGTTTGTTTTTCCGGTTTTTTTTTGTGTTTTGTCGTTTTTGGTGTGTAGGTCGAAAGATTCGGGCGAATTTTCGATTCAGAAAAAGTTGGTTTCGAGAGCATAACTGGATAGAGGGGTTCGTTAGCGACGCAAAGGAAAAAACGGAACTCAATTCCGAGTTCGGACGAGCTCAAACGAGGCGAAAACGCAAAATGGCGCAGTGCAGCCCAAAATCTCGCGAGTCGCGAGCACAAAGTCACGAGTCGTGAGTTTTAGTCGCGACTCGCCAGAGAAAAGTCTCGACTCGCGACTGTAACAGAGCCTCCAGCAGCCCAGCGACCCGTCCAACTCGCGACTCGCGAGTCAACTCACGAGTCGCGACCATGTCGACCCCTGTTTTTATTTTTGCTCGTTTTTACTCGTTTTAGCTCCATTTTTTGCGCACTATATATCAAAACGAACCTCCAGTCCTAAGGAACAATCCCTAATATCGTTCCTTTGAATTTTTCTCTCCAAAAACTCAATATTGTTAGGATAATTTTCTCCGCTTTTCTTTTTATTTTCTCATGCTTGGATTGTTGGACACAAAGACATTTGGATTGAAATCTTTCAAGTCTTAATCCGATTGTAAGTTTTTCAATTCTATTTTATTATTGTTGATTGGTTTAATGTTTTAAATTCCAGTTAACATGAGATTGAATCTAAGCATGAGGTAATCCATTCACCTAGGGTTTGAGATTTTGATTCTTGTTTGAATTATGTGGAATGTATTTTGTTCAATCTATGCGAGTTGTGTGAATTATAGGGTTAGTTGATTGATCACCATTCTAACCTAGTTAATCGACGTTTAGAACCGAGAGGGGAGATGTCGGTCGATTTAGGCTCGTATAGAGTAGACTTGTTCGGAAACGTATTGTCTATGTGTTGCTTGTTTGAATGAGTTTATCGTTTATGTATGTGCTCTTGTTACGAAGAGTTATTGAGCATAGCCCTCTAGACATGTAGGCTTGTTAAATCTGTAGCCGAACAAATAATCATTCAACATAGTTTAAGACTTGATGATATTTCCCGACCCCTAGAACTTCTTCTTTTTCTCTAGAAATTTAATTGTTATTGTTTCTAAATTGTTTTTCTAGTTTTGGCTTGTTTTAGTTAATTCTCCAAATCAACCGTGATTAGAATGTTTAGGATTTATTTTCTTTTCGTGTGTGATCAATACCAACGCTAAATTCCGAACCGTCTTCCTTGAGAGATCGACCCGGGGAACAAATCTTTTGATTCGGTTCTCGGTGAGCTGAGTTGATATGGTTGGGTGCAGAGTTGAGCTGATATGTTTTGAGCCACTTAGCCTATATTTATCCTACCTTGTCCAAAGAGTCTACGTTACACCCCTTAAAGACCTCTTGATTCATTGTTTTATAAATTCGATTGTTTTAGAGTAAAAATTAGTCGATAGGCAAATCTATGATTGACTTGACTGATGACCAATTTGAGTGCACCTCTCTTATATTTTGGGAAGAAACTAAGTGAGGCATATATATATACTTGTTCTTGAGAGTTTTTGTTCTTCGAAATGACTAAGTTGATTATTGAGGTGTGTTCTTGTGATCATTGGAATTCTTCTCAGTTTTATTGATATGTTTGAGATTGGTCTTGCTTGAACCGGTGTCCTTGATCATTTAGTTGTTTTCTTTTCTTTTCTTTTCTTTTCTTTTTGTTCGGGACGAACAAAGGTTTTAGTGTGGGGGAGTTGTTTGTCCCATTTTTGTGTCTTTATTTTGAGTTATTCTCTTTATTTTTCACCACTTTTAGGATTTTCGTGGTTTATTTGGTCCAATTCTGTGTTTTTGTGTTTTTCTCTTTAGTTTTGTTTTGTGTGTCTTTTTGTCTTGTTTTGCTCTGTGTTTTCTCCGTGTTTGCGTTTTCAGGAGGTAGGTTGTGCCGGTCAAGGATGAAACTGTTGGAGACGAGACCGTGATGCCAAGAATACCCGTTGTGGAGCTCCAAAAGCTGAAGGAAGGACCGGAAAAATGAACTGAAAACTTCCCAGAATTTCTCGTGACTCGCGAGAAGGGTCGCGACTCGCGAGATTGTCGCGACTCACGAGAATGACACGACTCGCGAGTTTAACAGAGGCTGAAGATGTTGTTCGCGAGCTCGAGTCGCGACTCGCGAGTGGGTGTCGCGACTCGCGAGTGGGTCGCGAGTTTCCCCAAATTTTGAAGAATTTTACCGACGCGCGACTCGCGCGCGACTCGCGAACTGAGAAAAGTGAATGTCGCGACTTAAGTCGCGACTCGCGACTTGATCAGCGCGATTTTCGAAGATGGGATTTTAAGTTCAGAATTTTGACCTAGACAGAGAATTCACATTCCAGACTTCGTTTTTACACTTTTTCTCTCTAGAAACTCATTCCTTTCGATGTTTTTACTCTTTTGATTGGATTTTGGAGATCAAAACTCTAATTTCCTTGCTTTGGATTGGATGTTTTTGGATTCAACATTGAATTATCATTATTAACTGTAAGTTTTCTTTTCTCAATTGTGTGATTGATGATGATGGCTTGGGTTTGTATGAATGTTGATGTTGAATTCCATATGAGTAGCTAAATCCATATGCTAGGGATAGGGGATGATTGATTAGGTTCGATTATAATTGTTTGTTCTTAATTGTTCATATCTATTAAAGTTGTTCTTATTCTAGGGTTAGTAGATTGATCACCTTTCTAACCTAATTAATCAACGTGTAGAACCGAGAGCGGAGAAGTTGGTCGATATAGGCTTGTTTAGAGTAGACTTGTTCGCAATAGTATTGTCTATTAGTTGTTGAAATTGATAGTTGATCGTGTACGTTCACTCTCTTGTTACGAAGAGTTATTGAGAGTGAGCCTCTGGACGAGAAACGATTCAAGTCCTTTAACCGAGCAATTGATTGCCGGTAGTTGTGTTAGAACCGAAAGCAATTATCCCCGATTCCCTAGCTCTTTAATCATTTGAGTAAATTCGTTTGCTATTTAAATCGATTTTCATTTATTTTCAAGTCGCTAGTTATAATTAAAATCAAAACCATTGAATAGAGTGTTTAGGATTTTCTATTTTCCGTGATCGAATACGTACGATTAAATCCGGCTAACCTTTTTTGCGATACGACCCGGGGAACGAATCTTTCGATTCTACTCCGGTAAAAATACCACACAACAGCATCCTTCCCCACAGCAGTCAACAAACACCCTCCAATCACAGTCTTTAAGAAAGCTTCATCTAACCCAACTATTGGTCTGCACCCACTTAAAAACCCTTTTTTTAATGCACTAAATCCCACAAAAAAGTCCTTGAACACAGTCCCTTCAACAAGTAGAAATTCAAACCGACCCTCTCTGTCTACTCTGAGTAGCTCAGCAACATAACTCCTCAAACAT